AGCATTGCTCTGTCTCTCAGGCTGGAGTGCAGTGGCACGATCTCAGCACACTGCAACCTCCGCCTCCTGGGTTCCAGCGATTCTTCTGCCTCAGCCTCCCAAGTAGCTGGGATTATAGGCACCCACCACCATGCCTGGCTAATTTTTTGTATTTTTAGTAGAGACGGGGTTTCACCATCTTGGCCAGGCTGGTCTTGAACTCCTGATCTCATGATCCACCCGCCTTGGACTCCCAAAGTGCTGGGGTTACAGGCGTGAGCTACCGCGCCTGGCTGACTCTTTTTTGTTTGTTTTGAGGCAAGAGTCTCCCTGTCACCCAGGCTGGAGTGCAGTGGTGTGATCTCTGCTCACTGCAACCTCCGTCTCTTGGGTTCAAGAAATTCTCCTGCCTCAGCCTCCTGAGCAGCTGGGATTACAGGCACCCACCACCACACTTGGCTAATTTTTGTATTTTTAGTAGAGATGGGGTTTTACCACGTTGGCCAGGATGGTCTCAAACTCCTGAGCTCAAGTGATCCACCGGCCTTGGCCTCCCAAAGTGCTGGGATTACAGGCATGAGCCACTGCACCTGGCCTCACTGTGGCCCTTGGGAGATCAGTATCCTCAGCCCCATTCTCCAGGAGATGAGGCCAAGGCTCAGAGAGGTGAAGCCATTGGCTCAGGATCACCCAGCAGGGCAGGAAGGAAAGCTTTCTACCTATAACATAGCCAGAGAGGGCGAAACAGAGGCAGCTTGTGCAGAATGGGATGGAACCAGAGGCCTGGGGAAAGACAGCCACGCTCCTGAGAGGTCCCTAGCTGCTCTCGGCCGTCTCTGGACTTCGGTTTCCCCATATGATCAATGAGGCATAGAGAGATCCTCTCGGGGCTTTCCCTGTAGAGAGGGGGAGACCAGCCGAGAAGGCGGTGCAGGGGTCAGGCCTACCTGCCAGGCAGCCAGGCAGCGGCTACAGAGCAGATGTCCACATGGCTCGATCTTCACATCCTTGTTGCTCTCAGCACAGATCTTGCAGAGCTCAAATGTGGAGTCCATGGCCCAGTAGAGCTGCAGCTGCTCCTGGCAGGTGAGAGGATGGAGGAGACTGGGAGGGCATGCATCAGCCATGGGGACGCAAGTTGGGCCACAGGAACAAAATCCCAAACCTTGGCCAGGCGCGGTGGCTCATCCCAGCAATCCCAGCACTTTGGGAGGCAGAGGCGGGTGGATCACCTGAGATCAGGAGTTCGAAACCAACCTGGCCAGCATGTTGAAACCCTGTCTCTACTAAAAATACAAAATTTAGCTGGGAGTGGTGGCTAATAGTAGTCCCAGCTACTCAGGAGGCCGAGGCAGGAGAATTGCTTGAACCCTGGAGGTCGAGTGAGCCGAGATTGCCACTGGACTCCAGCCTGGGCGACTCCATCTCAAAAAAAAAAAGAAAATCCCAAACCTCTGTCTTGGCGCCTGTAATTCCAGCACTTCTGGTGGTCCAGGCAGGTGGATTGCTTGAGCCCAGGAGTTCTGGACCGACCTGGGCAGCATAGCAAGACCATGTCTCTATTTAAAAATGATAATAAACCAAACCTCTATGCCAGACCTGAACCCTCTCCTAAGTTCAAGGTGAACATGTCCAACTGTCTCCTACATGTCTTTACTCATTTTGTGTGTGTGTGTTTGTGTTATTTTTTTTTGAGATGGAGTTTCGCTCTTGTTGTCCAGGCTGGAGTGCAATGGCACGATCTCAGCTCACTGCAAACTCTGCCTCTGTGTTCAAGTGATTCTCTTGCCTCAGCCTCCCTAGTAGCTGGGACTACAGGTATATGCCACCACGCCTGGCTAATTTTTGTATTTTTAGTAGAGATGGGGTTTTGCCATGTTGGCCAGGCTGGTCTCGAACTCCTGACCTCCAGTGATCTGCCTCCTTTGGCCTCCCAAAGTGCTGGGATTACAGGCGGGAGCCACCACGCCCGGCCATGTCCTCACTGCTTGTTATGAGACTTCTCCCCAGTTGTCTACACCCAGTGGTACCAGATTTAGCAAATAAAAATACTGGATGCTGCTAAATTTGAATTTCCTTCCCTCCCTCCCTCCCTCCTCTCTTCTCTTTCTCTTTTTCTCTCTTTTCCTTCCCTCCTTCCTTCCTTCCACTCCTTCCTTCCTTCCTTCCTTCCTTCCTTCCTTCCTTCCTTCCACTCCTTCCCTTCCTTCCCTCTCTCCCTCTCTCTCTCTCTCTTTCTTTCTTCTGTTACCTAGGTTGAGGGTCGCGATCTCAGCTCACTGCAACCTCCAACTCCCAGGCTCAAGTGATCCTCCCACCTCAGCCTCCCAAGTAGGTAGGCTAATTTTTTGCAATTTTGGTAGAGATGGGGTTTCACCATGTTGCCCAGGCCCTTCTTGAACTCCTGAGCACAGGTGATCCACCTGCCTTGGCCTCCCAAACCTCTCAAAGTGCTGAGATTACAGGCAGGAACCATCGCACCTAACCTAAATTTGAATTTCTTTTTTTTTCGAGATGGAGTCTCACTGTCTTGCCCAGGCTGGAGTGCAGTGGAGCGATCTCGGTTCAAGTGATTCTTGTGCCTCAGCCGCTCAACTCTCATGCCTCAGCTTGGATTACAGGTGTGAACACCATGCCTGGGAATTTTTTTTTTTTTTTTTTAGACGGAGTTTCGCTCTTGTTACCCAGGCTGGAGTGCAATGGCGCGATCTCGGCTCACCGCAACCTCCGCCTCCTGGGTTCAGGCAATTCTCTTGCCTCAGCCTCCTGAGTAGCTGGGATTACAGGCACGTGCCACCATGCCCAGCTGATTTTTTGTATTTTTAGTAGAGACGGGGTTTCACCATGTTGACCAGGATGGTCTCGATCTCTTGACCTCGTGATCCACCCGCCTCGGCCTCCCAAAGTGCTGGGATTACAGTCGTGAGCCACCGTGCCCGGCCGTTGCCTGGGAAATTTTTGTAATTTTAGTAGAGACGGGGCTTTACTATGTTGGCCAGGTTGGTCTTGAACTCCTGATTTCAAGGGATCCACCTGCCTTGGCCTCCCAGAGTACTGGGATTACAGCCGTGAGCTACCACACCCAGCCTCTAAATTTGAATTTCATATAAACAGTGAATTCAATTTGAAGTGTAAGAATGTTCTAAATATTGCATGGGATATATTTATACTAAAAAAATTTAGGGCCAGGTACAGTGGCTCATGCCTGTAATCCCAGCACTTTGGGAGGCAGAGGTGGAGTTCAAAACCAGCTTGGGCAACATAGAGAAAACCCATCTTTACAGAGAAATATAAAAATTAGCTGGGTGCTGTGGTTCACACCTGTAGTCCCAGCTGCTTGGGAGGCTGAGGTGGGAGGATCGCTTGAGCCTGGGAGGTCAAGGCTGCAGTGAGCCATGATCACACCACTGTGCGCCAGCTTGGGTGACAGAAGACACCCTATCTCTAAAAATAAAAATAATTATTTAGCTGGGCACAGTGGCTCACGCCTGTAATCCCAGCACTTTGGGAGGCTGAGGCGGATGGATCACCTGAGGTCAGGAGTTCAAGACCAGCCTGACCAACATGGCGAAACCTCATCGCTACTAAAAATACAAAAATAGCTGGATGTGGTGGCGCATGCCTGTAATCCCAGCTACTCTGGAGGTTGAGGCAGGAGAATTGTTTGAACCCAGGAGACGGAGGTTGGGGTAAGCCAAGATCGTGCCATCACACTCCAGCCTGGGCAAGAAGAGTGGAATTCTGTCTCAATAAATAAGTAAAAATAAAAATAAAAATAAATTATTTGTTGTTTCTCTGTCACTCATGGGGTGGCTATGAAGATTCGGAGCTGGCACGGGGCTATCGCTGGCTAATGCTCAAATGCATTAGCTGTCCTGATGATCTCAGCAGCGTCAGTTCCTTATTTAATCCCTGTGATCACCCCTGGGAGAGAGGCAGGAGGAACCGTATTTTCTGGAAGAATAACTGAGCCTCAGAGAGGTCAAGTGATTTACCCAAGGTCACACAGCCACCAAGCCAGCATTCCACCCCCAGGCCTCTGAGCCCAGGGAGCGTGGGTGTGGCAGGGTCCGGGAAAGGGGACAGCGGGTGCAGGCGCGTGACTCACCTCTGACACGTGGATGCGCTGCTGGGGTTCTGCCCGGCAGAGCTCGGTCAGGTCTGGGTTGTGGTTCTTTCCATCTGGGTAGAGGTAGCTGGGGGAAGGGAAGAGAGGGTGACTGGGGGCCATCCAGTATCTCCCACCCCAGGATGAACAAGGATCTTTATCGCCCTATAGGGCCCCGTATTTCCCTGAGATGAGGATCTGCCCCATATCCATTGCTGGCCTGGGGTTCTCTTCCCTCTGCCCTCCTCTAATTGGGACTGTATCTTCTCAAATACCCCAGGGCAGGGCTGTGTGCACTCAGACCCCCAAAGAAGGGGACACAAAACCTCAGTGACTGAAGCTCTAGAAACAAGGATGAGATAGAATAAGAACCAGAAAACAGGATGAAAATTTCTGGCTTGGCTGGGCATGGTGGCTCATGCCTGTAATCCAAGCCAAGGCGGGTGGATCACCTGAGGTCGGGAGTTCAAGACCAGCCTGACCAACATGGTGAAACCCCGTCTTAAAAAAGAAAGAAAGAAAGAAAGAAAGAAAATTTCTGGCTTAGATCAGATGCAGTGGCTCATGACTGTCTCAAAAAAAATAAATAAACGCCGGGCGCGCAGGCTCACGCCTGTAATCCCAGCACATTGGGTGGCTGAGACAGATCACGAGGTCAAGTTCCGTTCAGGAGTAAATCCTATGTAGAGGCTTCTTAAAAAGAGATCGAGATCATCCTGGTCAATATGGTGAAACCCTGTCTCTACTAAAAATACAAAAAATTAGCTGGGCATGGTGGCACATGCCTGTAATCCCAGCCACTCAGGAGGCTGAGGCAGGAGAATTGTCTGAACCCAGGAGGCGGAGGTTGTAGTGAGCCGAGATCGCACCACTGCACTCCAGCCTGGGTAACAAGAGCGAAACTCCGTCTCAAAAAGAAAAAAGAAAGTTCTGAGGCCGGGCGCGGTGGCTCAAGCCTGTAATCCCAGCACTTTGGGAGGCCGAGGCGGGTGGATCAC